GAGGGGGGTAAAGACACATGCACACACACACACCCCCGCCAGTCTCACCGCTCCTCTAAGAGGACTGACTGGAGCCGAGCAGACAAGGGCCAAGGCTGAGCACCACTGGTCATGTGCAACTATGTAAGGGAGCGACTCTGCTGACTCTGTCCTTCATGTGACAGTTAAGAGCTTCATCAGTCCATCAGCTACCGTCCCTTCTCCTAACCGCTCTCCTTTCGTCATAAAATGAACATGACGGAACAAAACAAACAGAAAGTAATCAAACACAAGTGCTCGAGGCCACCCTCACTGACTCCTCTCGCTAGTGTGTTGGCTCAGGTGGATCCCAGTAGGGTTTAAGCATTGACAAAAAGGGGGGGCCGGCTGAGACCTCAGCGCTCTACTGGGACGACTGGGAGTTGTCATTCTTGCTCTCCTGACTGGAGGGGGCCTTGTTGTTCCAGGGCGAGTGTGCCCCAAGTGCAGGCGAGCTGTTGAAACTGTCCTCATCCTCCAGGCCATTCGCCCCATCGAACTGCGTGTTCTCCAGCCGTGTGATCAGACGCTCGTCCTCGTCACCAAACTCCCCTCCCATCAGAGTGGGCTCTCCCACCATCATCACGTCCTAAAGGGGACAGCAAGGGCCGGTACATATTATCCCCATAATACAGGGGGTTGCGCGGAATGACTGGCTGCACGGACGAGTTGTAAGTGGAGTGTTTTCTTGCCTACGGTCTAGCGATTTAACTTGGTTCAATTTCAGCTTCTTTTCTTTATGATATGCATGATAATTGATACTTCAAGATGCGTTTCAGGGACAAAGAGAGTATTAAAACCTGAGGTATTAGTGTCCTTTTATTCCTGAACCAATCCCAACAGGACAAGGTGTTGTCAGGGCATCTACCCTGACAGTTGTGTCCGTTGTGGCCCTGACTCCCTTCCCCCGTTCCAAGAACCAGGGTCAAGGGCCCTCCCTACTGGCCAGCAGTGGGCGTCCCTGAACCTTGAGTGCTGCATCAAGGGGGAGGGAGGGAGGGGGGGAGGGGGGGGGGGGGGGGGCTGTTTCATTCCACCTCGGGTCTCGTTCGCTCAACCAAGCAACCAAGTCAGCAAAGACAGCAGGGCTGTGTGAATCGTGTGCTCTGAGAGACTAACTCTAAAACCAAGATGATACAGCAGACTTAGAGAGAAACCCTAACTGTCCCCACTGGAAATCAGAGCAAGGTAACCCAACCCCCCCCCCCCCCCCCCCCCATGGCCCCAAAATAGTTTAACCCATAAACCTGTGGCCCCAGAGGACAAGGGACTGCCCATCACTGGTTCACATCAGGAGTCTACTAACTAAATCTACTCATCCCCCCTTCCAGAGGCATCCCTCTGCTATCGCTATCCTGCTGCTACACCTACTCCCCCCCCCCCACAAATAACTTCCTAACCCCCGTGGCTGTATTTCCAACCCCTTCACCCCGTGTGTTATCCTCCACGGTGCAGAGAGAGATTAAGTAGGTGTAATGCTTACAGGTACCTGGTTGGAGAGAGAGAAGCTGTTGGCTGGACTCTTCTTTTTGCTGTTGCTGTTGTTATTGCTGCCTGCGCCGGAGCTCACGGTGCTTCCACCGGACACCTTCCGTTTCCGCCGCTTGTTTGGAGCTTGTCTGGCTGGCTCGGCTACGTAGACAACAGGTGGAAGATATGTTTCATAATCACATATTTAAGTGAATGTCAATCTGTTTTCTTTCAATTGCAACCGGATTCGTTTGTGCTCCGCGGCTTAATGAACGTAAGGGCAACACCGCCATAAATGCCACAGGCAATTTCAAAAAGGTGTGTGTGCGTTACCTGGAGGTGCTACCATTCTTTGCCACTTTTGGAAGAGGCAAGTCTTCAGGCAGTCTCTGGGGCTCAAGCTGTAGGTCTTATGCCTTGACATCAACTCTTGCATGGGCTCCAATATCACACATAGCTTTACGGAGGATAACGAGAGGAACCAAACAGACAGAAAGAGCGTTAACAGGTTGTTGCAGCTGAGGTTAATTTACTGACCGATCAAAAAGAGAACAACATGATCACAGGGAAACGTGCTTACACGGAGGTAGTTGAGTGTGGAGTTGGACAGCCCACATCTGGTGATATTTTTAGCCAGCTGATCGAGCATTTGCGGATCCTGTGTGATTATGTTGAAAGGATAACATGAATAAAGTGCACGTACAGTATGTGCATTTGAGCGGGGGGGTTATTTGGGTTTGGAACTCACATGCATAGCCAGAATGCTCCTTGGTAGGACCTCTCTGTGTTGTCTGATGCTGAAGTGCCACGTCTTGATCCTCATCATGTCATCAAACATGAACTCCAGGTACAGGCGGCCCTCCACGCAAACCTGAACCGCGAAAGAGAAAAGTTACAGGTCACAGCAGCAGCAACAGGAATGAGAGGGACAGCTGCACGTGTTGCATCCGGTACCTGTGTGAACATGGGTTTGCCGTTTTGGGTGACCATGGTGCATTGGTCGCAGTCCAGAGACACAAAGTTACTGTGGAAGGACTCCTTCGGGTGCTTCAAAACATAAAACAGCTCGGTGGCGCCACCCTCAAAAATACTTCGAAAGTATCGTGGGATCAAAGTCCTGCCGATGGCTGCACACAAAAATAGAAGTTTGTCAATAAATGTAATCAATACATCAAAATAAAATGAAATTTGAATCACCCACATATACCAGGTAGTGTGAAAAAGATCAAATAAAGAGCAGAGAGGATATACATAATGCCGCCAACAGGTAACAGATAACAGCCTTGTCTTGATGAATGATTAAATTGAAAGATGTATGATCTGATGAAGATATAAAACATCTGGACATTTTGAAGATAGTCATTATTGGACATTACTAAAATATAAACAGTTCCACTGCCTTTACATTTATAATTAGAACCTGAAAATACAAACAAACAGTGGCATTTTCTTATTTAATCCTTCTTACTGTATCGTTTGGGTCCATCCTCCAAACAGAAGGTGATGGTGAGCATGGCGTCATCCTCAAAGAACTCTGTGGTGAAGGCATCCCACCAGAGATTGTCACAGTCCTGAAAGCAGATAAAGAACCGCTTCAAATCTAAAAACCTAACTTTGGTAAAGTTAAAACACAAGGCGAATCACTCCATCATATAATCACAATAAAATAAAACAGCATTCAAGTGTAATACAGTTTGTTTGCTATGAAGAGATGAGGAAGATGTATAATAGATAATATGAGTAAACAAAGAATGATTCTTAACAAGAAGCAGAAGTTTTTGTTTCCTCAAATTTAATATTTCGATAAACATTCAACTCTTCTTCCTCTGGTCGATGTAAAACAATGGATTATTGCAAAACCGCTCAAACACAAGAAGCAGAAACTCTCGTTTCCTCAAATGTACTGTTTATTTAACTACTCAACACTACTTCCTCTGGTCAATGTAAGACAATGGATTTGTTTTAAACAGATGTGCATGCTTCATGGTGGCCACGATCATCACTGCAGAAGCTCTTAAATGTTTTGTTGTGCAGTGAAGAAGTCAAAAGAACACCGACGGTGGACTTTCTGAACGAGGCATGCTGCCATTCAGACGTCGGGTGTTGTGTTGGACATAAAACTTGGCTTTGTGGTTAAAATCCCCCACAATGCACAGGGGTTAGTGTGGATACATTTGTAATAGTGAGTGCAGACCGACAGCCACATATAAAGCGTGGCTTGTTACAAGTGCTCAGTCGCGCTCTCGAGCATATAAACAGTCGGCACTCTAATTATGTTTTGGCCATGTTGATCAGATAATCTTATTAGAGCCTGAATGTAAATGAAGTCGGTGCGTTCTCGGGGCTTAATTTCACACAAAATCCCCGAGCGTGGACAGCAGCTGGGAGGGAAAATCTGAAAACAGCAAGTAGTTCAAGGAGCTGCACGATGTTGCACTAGAGATTGTAATCGCAACCAACTTAAACATGAAACTCAGATGCTGTGTTTTTGCACAGCAACAGTTTGGTGTTGATGTCTTATTACTCTCTATGTGAGTGATGAAGTGACTCTCACCTCTGTCCAATTCTGTAGCCTTTTGTTCAGCTCGTATATCCGGTAATCTGTTTGGTTCCCGTACGGTGTGGGTCTCCTGAAACAGAAAACAGGGGGACTCAACGCTCTGTGGCTTTCCCACACAAATAACATGAGCCGCGAGCAGTTTCACACTTAAGTTAATAACAGTGTGTTCTAAAATGAACAGAGCACAAGGCTTTATATATGACTTCTGAGCTGAGACAAACCACAACTGTGTGTTCACTATGCAAGCGGCAGTGTACTCACCCCATTCCAGGCTCCATGTATGATGGGGGGTACATGGGTGTCGGCCTAGGAACAACAAAAAGAACAAACATCAGCAATAATTTTCTAACAAACATAAGCAACACAAAGGATGTGCGTCTTTAGTTCTACACTTTGATCTCAGAACTGTTCGAGCCAATTACTGGATTCAGGGCTAACGATAAAATTCCACATTACAATAGAATACGGAGATATAGAAATATGGGTTTGAAATACTCAACAACATAACATTTAATACGTACTCTAAAATGTTATGACTGCACTGCGCGTCAGTATGGCATCCGTCTTTGTTTGTCACTTTTAATTAAGCTGATTGTTGCTGCTTCTCTTATTTACTTTATAAGACCGCCACATTGAATAAGAACAGAAGAAATCACCAGTCAGTCACCGGTAAACCGGAAGCTCAGCATCAAACGTGTGCAGATTTAAAGGGAAATAAGTTCCGGGTTCAGTGTCAAGTGCATAACAATGCCCACAACAAGCTGTAATATTATACAATTTTTAACAATTATTAACAAATTACAGTTTAAACAGCTTCAAGCGAACCACTGAGCCAAAAGAAAAACAGATGCCCAAAAATATTCAGAACTAAAATGCAAGCACCGGTTCAATAGTGATCCAGTGGTCACACCTGCAATCTGGACTGAGAAATAATTAAAAATCTACCGGTATTTGGGGGAGAAATGATTTCAACAGTACACCCCCCCCCCCCCCCATTATCACAAGAAAGAAGAAACATTAATATAACAGGTGACTAAAAACTTTTGAACGGCAAGTACAAGCCATAAAACATCAATACACATCATTATCTATAGAGAAACCTACCCCACATCTCTGTCCAGCATAGCGCCTGGGTGGAAGGGGGGGAAGCTGCCGCCGTTGGGGGGCTCCTTAGGAGAGTACAGCTTGAATGACTTTGACGAACAGCCTGCACACGAGCAGAGACAGAGGGGGGAAAAAGAGCAGAGATTTAGAGGAGATTTAGATTTAGCTCATTCAAATCACAGCATCATCCAAGTAATCTAATGCTGGATGATTCTGCTGAGATTTAAAAAAAGCACACTGCCAAAACAATTTCCTGCTGCTTTCATTATCTAATCCATCTTCAATCTGGTAAATGGACAAGAAAACAAATCATGACGGAAAGAAAAAACTGAAATATTTATTAGCCGACAGAAATCTGAGAAAACAATCAGTGAACTGGGGAACTACACGCAGAGGAGATCGTCTGACATGTTCTTTGTGTTTTGTACCATTATAGGGAGCCCTCTTCTCTGCATTCAGCCCCATGTGATCCTAACTATGCGCCTCTGCTGTGTGTGTGTGTGTGTGTGTGTGTGTGTGTGTCTCCCCCCTAGTTGCCTCTTCTACCCATCCCCCCATGCATTGCCCGGCTGTTGTTAACCCTCGTCTGTCCAGATAAAGCGTTCACACTCAAACAGTTCAGTTCTCTTAGAAACAATCTTTGCGGTATCTCTACTCAAGGACACTTTACGTTGCATTTAATTAGGCCTGATTAAAAAAAGCCTGCATACCCAAGCAGCCAAACCGTAGCGGGCTGGGATGTTGAGAAAAACAACCCCATGAAATTTGACCGGGGCTTGCCCATAACACCCACCCTACAGCTTCAGATAACAGATAAGGAAACGTTGAGTTTCTGTGTTGGACCCCTTTATAATGTGGTTTGAGCGTGTCCTGCTTGTAAATCTGGTATTCCCAACAGGCACCTGAAGGCAGCATTATGTTAATGTGTTGCTTTTACACCGTTACAATTGATGCACAGCCATCGGCCACCGTCAGCTAGGCATACAACATGGTGATTGTGCCAAATGAACACTGAGCCACACTAATGCAGGATCAAACATAACGGCTGAATGTTTGATAAGGCCAGACAGACTACTCTACAAATGGTGATGGTTAAAGTCAAGATATACAAATGGAGAGAGAAAGGCAGGCGTTGGGGTCAAGTATTGACAGTGTGAACTGTGATCTGTCCGTCCCCATTCACCGCTCCTCCAACAACCACAACTCCTCCTTCGTTTACTCCCTTGCTTCAGTACAACCCTGGCAGGTCATCTTCTCCTCCCGATTGCTATGTGGGTGAACCTGCTCGGGGGCACCCAACAATACTTCTCTATATGCATTACGTCTGACCTATAGACCCCCCCCTCCCCCAAACACAAGTAGCCCCAGACAGCATTCAACCCACATATGCTGAAGTCTTCATCCAATCTCATGCTGATGCATATTGTGCCAAACACAAATCCCTGCAAGAAATCTGAGTAGAAGTCTTGTTTTCTCCATTATGTAATGCCTCCACGTTCAGAAACACACATTCTGCACAAAATGCTGACACAGTTTATTCTCGCCCTTGAATAATCACCAACACACACCCTGTAAAACCATGTACCGTCAACAGCGTGAAACATATCCACAAGACATCGGATGCATTATGTATGGGTCATTTCACAGGCCAGACCATCTTTTGAATAAGTATTTTTGATGAAAGACATGTTCAGGTACACATGACAAATACCGTTAGAGATGGATGACTCCAGCAAGTAAGCATCCTTTGAAAGAAGGACATAATTAAGATGAGTCACCATGATGCAGAAGCACTCCAACAATGGTGACGTTGAAATAATGAGACTTTTAGGTGCAGTTCAGTCCTCTCAAACAATAGAAGAGCATCCAGAAGCTGGCCCACAGCCAATAAAACATCCGAAACAAATGAGCCAAGACTGTCAACATTCTTCCACTGATGACTGGTATAACGCTAGCTCAGTCTATAGCACAGTCGACATTTAAAAAAATAAGCCTGTGTTCACTTTAACACACTGGACCAGGCGTAAATTGGAGCACAGGGCCGCGTTCATTCAACGTCTACAGAGGACAGATGCCATTGCTAAGCTATTAACGTAGCTAACGTTAACGTAAGCTAGTTGCTGAACTACCGCCATCCACTTATGATTCCCCGTGCGTGTTTACTGTGAACCAGCGGAGCTGTCAAAGGTAGCGTGGCTACCTTTGAGTTACCTTTGTTTGAGTTACCTGCAGAGAAAGGTCCACCGAAACACGGTGTTGCTCAACACCTCCGCTCGGTGTGTTTCTCGCCAGCTAGCTTCGCTGCTAGCCGGAGCGGCTGGACGGCGAAAGCTCCAGCACCGACCGTCGATAATGTAACGTTAGTCCTGCACCCCAACAACACGAGAGACGGGAAGTGAAACACTCCAGCTCGTTGCACTGGTTCCTGACAATTTGCAATCCCCAACTAATTGTTTTTAAATGTCATTTGTTTAGTGGACGATGCTACCTATTTACTACTAACGTTACTACTACAGGAGGACCCTTTGTTCCTGCCAGCCGAGACACGGAGAAAAAAAAAAAAAAAAAAGGCCCCGCCTCCTGCACGCGCCCCCGCCCATCCCATCAAACACACCGAGATAAACACAGGCCTGCCTCCATGACAGCCAGGGACCCCAATCTGTCTTGTCCGGGACCCATGCGTGCATCAGTGGCCCCTATAGTGGTACAAGTGGCACCCATTAGGAGGAACGGTTATAAGCCGTAAGCAGTATTTTGCATCTTAAACATGCTATTACAGATTGACAGAATAATCTTATTCCATAGTCTGACAGCATCGTTTTGTATCAGCTTGTTCTGACTCCCCATGGAAGCTTTGTGGTGTTTACAAAGTGTCAACAGGATTCATGCATTCTTGATATGTGCATTATTGTATACACATTTCCACCCTGACATATTAGGTACTTTTTGAAACTTCGGGGCATTAACTAGAATTTACATTTAGTAGAAAACATTTGGCTACACTGCATGGGTTTATAAAGAGTGACAAACGTGTGGATCAGTGGTACTTAAGAGGTTAAGTTTACAGTATTTCTTCATTGTTACAAGACAGACATGATGCCCTTAGATAAAAACTATCCCTGTGCTCTCATAATTATGACAAATGATAAATAGTCTTTAAAAAAGTCATAGCGTATAATTAAGCTGGAGGTATTAAGACTGAAGCCCTTTTAAGGATTTTGCCAGATTGTATTAAATATATACTTAACAGAAAGGCTGGGACCTACAGGTAGACCCTCAGTATATCTCAGCACATTTCATGAGGAATAATACAGTATAAAGGTTGATCGTTGAATACAAACAATAGATGTCAGTACGATGAAAAATTATATTTCACTTTTTGAGTTTTGGAAACTCCTGCATTCAAGCACATATAACAGAAACTCCTGTGAAGCTCTGCAGTATGAGAACCGTGTGCATTTATAAAACCTTTCTACGGTGGCGGTATTAACATTCAGTTCAGTCATAATAAGCAGTCATGAGGAATGAAGGGAGAGAGAAATGATTTCTGCCAGTTCTGCTGGAAGCACTGGTCAGTCTGTCCTGACTGTAACAACCCCAAAATGAAAAGAACATGAGTGTGATTCAGACATTTTATTCACACCGTTCAGCAAATCTGCCACAAAGACTATTTACCTAAACAGCCTGTTTAATTCAAGCCAACTTCGTAAAGGCTTATGAAAAATGATTGACTTGGCTGATGTCCTCAATCCTGAGCCTCAGATTATGTAAGGGTATAATCTGCAGCCTCACTTTTAATCAATAACCACTCTAATGTTTACAAGCAATATATTTGAAGCCCGGAAAACCTTTTGTGGTCTGAAAGTGCATTTAAAGCTCAATTTGTTGAGGCTTTCACTTGAGCTGCCAGTCAGTTTGTAGAATTATATAAGTGAAGCAGTGCATTTCATTGAGAGAGTAAACACATCTGACCCAGACCAGTCACTCTTACTGCATAAAGCCCCCATCAGGCTTAGAGTGCAGATATACAGCATCATCTGCAGCTTGTACTCACTATTCAAACTGGAGGAGAACGACACAAAAATATCTGTGGGCTACATCATCGGTTAAATGTTGGAAAACAATACAACTCAGAATTTCGTTAAAGTAACTGTGGTCCAATCTGGAGAGTTTGGCTGTGTAGTTATGACAGAAAATAAATTATTGGACAACTATAGGGGAATAAAACATAAAATAAAGACTAAAGCCTTTTGTTGTAAGGTAGGACTAGATGTATAAGCTTTTGTTGAAAACAATGGTTCCTCAGTCAGTGTTGATGGACGGACACAAAGAACAGATGTGACAGAACAGCATCTCCCTCTGCTGGTATATGCTGCAAACATCCTCACACTTCAATTATTGAATACAATAAATAGAATACAACACAATACAATGACCTTTACTGTACACTATTCACAGCTAACATAATCGATAAAATCTCTCATTTTTATCTTTAAGATATTTATCTGCCTATTCCATGATGATATCAACCAATAACCTTAATAAGCACAATAGTGCTTATATTAATGCCATCTGAATTCAGTAGTCTGCATTATCATCATTACAACAACAAAAGAAACACATGTAAATGGGTTGTAAGGAAGTGTGGATCACACAGCAACGTTATGGAATACTGCATACATTACTGTGGGAGTGTTTCAGTCCTGAGAATTGGATTTCATGTGTATTCAGTAAGAGTCACATTTAGTGATAACATTAAATGGAAGTACACAAGAACTATGTTTTAATTTCGTAACTGAAAAACTGTTCTTGTACTACACACAACCTCTTTTATTTATAGATCCCTATAGCTCCGAAGAACACTTTACACGTACTATTTTATGCAGAGGCGGACTACATAACATTACCACTGAAATGCTTTCCATGCATTGTAATAGAAAATAATAATGTGGTCTCCAATACAGAAAAATGTCAAATGAATTTTGAATCATTTGGTTCATTACTCAAGCATCCTTCCAGTCAGACAGCTATTGCACATTAAAAAAAACTGACCGTGATAAATAAACTGAGGCGAGCTGTAAACAAGTCGACTCCACACAGGCCATACACGTGTAAACATGCCGTAAAGCTTTTTTCCGAAGCCCTCCAACGTATTGTGTCTGTACACAAACGTGTGACAGAGAGAGTCACTTATTCGCGAGGAAATCTGTAGAGAGCGCTGGTGAACAGCATGTTCACACTCCTGTCGCTGCTTTTCTAGCCGCCACAGTGGAAGCACAAACCTGTCAGGGAAACCGTTCTGCGACACCTGACTGGTAGTGATAGCAACACGGCAGCAGACAGAACTATGCAGGCTGTGGCCTGACAGCAGGAAGTTAAACAGCGTGTGTTCAAGATAAAGAAGGATCGGTGCTGTGGACGCTTGCAACGAGAGAGGTCACTGATCTGAATCCAGGCAGAATTAGCCAATCCATAGAGGACTGTGCAGTTTAAACTGGAGGTTTGGTCATTTATATGGCTACTCTTGTTATGCACTTCTGTAATGTGTTACAAAAAAATGTAAATCCACCGTGAAATATAAATCACTTGTATTCTTATAATACCGCTCAGTTTTAATGTTCTTAAACTGAGCAACGGTTCAACAGCGATGATGTTATTTGGAAACTAATCTTGGAGCCGCTCCACATATAGTGAATAATGAAACAACTGTGACACAGCACCTACTTTTACTGGAATTTGGACACTTAGTCAGTCACTAATTCCAAGTAAATGGACAAACTCCACCAAACCCACCTCCATTTTCTGACATCATCAATTCAAGTCTTGAAGCGCTGCTTTTTTTTTAACTTTAGGGAAACAATTTACAGTCCAAAGCACAACATAGATTCTGTTAAATGGCAGCAGCTATATGTCAACATTTGCCTCGATTTGCATACACGTTTATCAAATCAAGTCTCTTTGAACACTCCATCTTCGACACCAACCAGCTCAAACAGGCTGGCAAATTCATGATACACTCATTAACAGAAACATGTTTGCATGCTAAATTTACACGAACAGTCCCACTTGCACACACACGATTGGCACAGAAATACAGCACAAAGCTCTCAAATAACTGCGGCTGTCCTCACACCTTCTGTTTTCAGCACAGCTCTGTTTCAGTCTATCTTCAGTCAGTAGCGAGCCTGCTTTCATGTTGAAAAGACTCTGCGGCTTGCACATCTCCCACAAATAAAGGTGTGCTTTGATAGAAAATCATTTTTTCCATCCCACACATTTTGTCGTCTCCCCCTCCTCCCGGCTGTGGCACATGCCAGCTTTCCTCTGCCATCCTGTCGGCCCCGCAGCAGATGTGACATCACTACAGCACGCCCCCCCCCCCCCCCCCCCCC